TATATATATATATATATATATATATATATATATATTCCCCCTATCTTTTGCATATCAGTGATCATTTATTGAAGATATTCCCCCTTAATCATACACATTATGTATAATCAACCATTACACTATTAATTCCATTTGGCATACATCCACATATCATATTTTTGTATAATCATTCAAATATCACTTCCCCCTTTTGGCATAAGCAAAAAGAAGTCAACCATTGAATAGAAGCAAAATAGATTTGTCAATGCATGAAGCCCAAAAAAAGTTAGACAAGCATAGTAGTGCAATGTTTAAAGGGAAAGCATAAAGACAAGCATTATAAATGATGGTAAGTGAATTACGGTGCCAGAGGGAATCTAGAGTAGAAATCAGCAAAGAAGGCAGTTTGTTGTGCTTGCATCTCCGCTTGCCGGTCTTGGATAGTCATTTGTTGTGCCTGAAGTTGGAGAAATAAACTTCCAAAACTGTTGATGGTGGAAGTGAGAGAGTCAATACGGCCATTGAGGATGTTAAATTGATCTTCGGTCATGCTATTTCCTCTACTCGATGCTTGAGGGCCACTCGAGCTTGGAATGTCGGTGGGAGGGATTAGAGCATCATCGGAATCATCCTCATCACCGCCTTCAAAAGTTAAAGTGGATGGACCCGAGGTACGATCAAACCCCTTTGTGTGTGCTACCCATTGACCATTTTCCTTTGTGATTCGCATTCGTGCAAGTATTTTGATGTTAATGGTGTTGGTTGGACGTAATTTGACAAAAGGCTCATTGTCCAACGGCACATGAAAGTGTTTGAAAATTTTGGTTAAAAGCATGCCATATGGAAAAGCTTTGGTTTTTCGAGAGGTATGCACGCGTTCCATAGTTCCAATAACCAAAGTTGGAAAATCTAATTTTCGATTCAAGGGAAAAGAGTCGAGAATAAATAGGTCGAGGAAATTGACTTCATCTCGATGTCCTTTTCGAGGAAATATGACATGGGTGATAATGTGTTGTAAAACCTTGCAAGGTAAACTTAAGTGACATGTACTAATTTTATTCATTTTTCAAAATCTTTTTCAGTAACACGTCGACAAGTATCACTCGAGGTTATAACCTTCTATCGACGGATGTGCCTTATGATGATAAATTTTTGTTTCACACATGTCAAGCTCAAGAATTTCACGAATGAGTGTTTTGGAAATAGTGATACGCACATTGTTAAGAAAACACATAATTGTGCCCGACCGGATAACCATTCAGTGATAAAATTCTCTCATTAACCTAGGATATACGTGCTCTTTCATCCCGACTACATTGGTCCAACCCATGTGTTCTAAGAAATTCTCAATGTGAAATGTAGGTACTAATAGTGTAAAATCAGAGAGATCCACATTTTTACCTATGAGAATGGGAGATTTCTCAAATGGGTTCGTAGGTACCTCGGGTTCCTCATCAATTTCTTCATTGGAGGAGCGTGGTGGAGGATACATAGCAGTCCTTTTGGGGCAATTTGCTACTCGTTTCTCT